GAAATGAATACATCTGAAAAATTGTCAAAAATTACGTTTATTAATCAAAATTATAGCTAAAAACTAGTTTTCCCATAAAAAAAACGAATTTCTCGCTGCGTTGCTGCACGGCATAAACGTTAATCGGTCTTTTGATAGTTCAATTTTGTTTATGTCAAATACTGCAGATGTTGGAATCATAATCTGGTGCTCAATTTGACGATTTTTTTTCCTGAATGAAGATAATCTAATATTTTAAAATTTTTAGCGAGGGTAAGAGTCTTATTTGCTCGTTTGATTGGAACCATTACTAGAGACAGTTCATAAACAACGTACAAACGTTTTTGCTATTAATTTTAAAACTACTATTATTACTATAAAAAAAATAACAGTATCCGGATTACTGGATTATTATATAAATAAATAATATAGCAGTATCCGGTTTACTGCAGGGCCCGAACTAGCGACTGTCCGGACTATTGAAGTTATACTGTACAGGGTGGGTCAAATTCGACGCTTTTAAATGGAAACACCCTTTTCTATAGGAGATAGACGAAAACTAATATCGGTGTCTGGAGCTCTATTTTTGTCAAAAACATGATAGTGAAAACCGCATATCGATATCTGTTACCGTTTCGGAGTTACGGGGTGTTTTTCAATAATATGCACTTTTAACAAATCGCTGTAACTTTTTTGTTATGGAAAATTTTGTATTTCTATGAAAACATTTCCAAAGCACCTTTTTACGTAGAATTTAATGGTTTAAGTATAATTTTTTTTAAATTAATAATTTAAGAATTATCAACAAAAAATTTGATTTTTTATATGGGACACCCTGTATATTTTTAATTTATTGAAAATAATTTAAAATTACCTTTCCAAAAATATATTTTGCTCGATTCCTCTTCGAGATATAGAGTATATAAAAATTCGCCCGTTTTAAATGAGTAGGCTTTGAACGGCACCGGCTGTAATGCAAAAAAATCTAGCTGTGAGCATCAATTAAAACGAATATTTGCTATGAGAGATGCAGAATGTTATAACTATTTAAAATATATTTAATCAACATCAACACATTTAAACTATATCTAATAACAAGAAAAATAAATAGCAAACCAAGACATGAGATTTTGCTATAGGTGTTCGACATATCGACCGTCTTCTGTTATGGACAGACGGGGCAGTTTTTGAACATTTCTCGCGGAATTCATTAACTCAGTGGGGGTGAAAGATACCCTCTCATAACTGCTAAGTAATTCTAATTCATGTCTAGATTATACGGAAGAACAAGGAACCTTTATTTTTCCGCAAATATATCGATAGGATTAGATCCATGGGCACTAAGTCAGGCGGCCTCGACGGCCAACGGCTGGAATCTTGGTTGGCTATTCAATTACTCTTGAAATTGGATGCAAAAATTTGCTGAGAACTTCAGCGATTAGAGGGGGGTGCGTCGTCTTGCTGGAGAAATATGTTTTCGAGTTCCATTAAGGGCATATCATCAATAAAGGGTCCAAAGCCTACTAGTTAAAAGTGGCGAACTTTTAAAAATTCTGTATTTCGAAGGGGATTATGACAAAATATCAAGTGTACTATATTTTTGGAAAGGTAATTTTAAATTCTTTTCAGTTAATTAAAAATATAGAGGGTGTCCCAAATAAAAAATCAATTTTCTGTTGATAACTCTTAAATTATTAATTTTAAAAAAATTATACTTAAACCATTAAATTCTAGGTAAAAAGGTGCTTTGGAAATGTTTTTATAGAAATATAAAATTTTCGATAGCAAAAAAGTTACAGCGATTTGTTAAAAATGCACATTTTTGAAAAACACCCCGTAACTCCGAAACGGTAACAGATATTGATGTGCGGTTTTCACCATCATGTTTTTGATGAAAATTGAGCTCCAGACACCGATATTAGTTTTCGTCTATCTCCTATAGAAAAGGGTGTTTCCATTTAAAAGCGTCGAATTTGACCCACCCTGTACTTATATTCGCTTAGGTACTGTCTAATTACTTTTTAAATATTATTTTATATTTAAAAAGTATATCTATAAAATTCTATTATTGGTGTGATTGTACACAATTCTGTGCTGCAAGCATTAAGGTGTAGTTTAAGGGCGTGTGGCGTAGTAATGAGCGAGACTGGTCTTGGTGTTGGCCTTGCACAAAAAGCTAGACTAAGACCAAGGACAAAGACTAGCGTTTGATCTGCAAGACCAGAACCGACCAGTGCAAGACTTCTGCAAAACCCTGACAAACCAAGACAAAGCATGCAAGACTATTGCGGTCTTGCATTTTTTTGCACATTTATATGATGAAAGGTTATTGATGATGATGAAATTACTTATTTGTTCAAACTTATTATTTTAGTTTATTACAAATAGTGTTTTCTCGACTTTGGACAAATAGTCTTTAAAAATTGCTTGCTTTAGAGTTTTATTTGCATTGAATTACTAGAAATACTATTTATTAAAGATTTTCTATGCAGAAAGTTCCGCTAGTAAAAATCTATTGAAATAATGCAAGAGTTGTCCAAAAACGAAGACTAAGACCAAAATTGCACACTTTGCAAAACAAAAAAATATAGCCGGAGAGCTGAATTTAGAGAACACATTTTAGGCAAGTTAGAATAACAACAAAAATATAGTTTATTAACTGGTGAACCCAGAAGCCGCAAAAAACGGGCGGAGGGTTTGCGATTATTTCGCTACTGCGCAAACTTATGACATTTGTAAAAAAATAATTTTAAAAAATATCCTTTAGACAACTTGAAATTAGTTTAATCTTAAACTTTAGGCGTCTATTTTACCATAAAAAAATTTATGCCAGACTGATTTTTGGGTTTTTAAGTGTAACCCGACCATCCCAAATATACAGGGTGTTCTATTATTTTACAGTCCCTTTTGATTTTTCCCAGCATATATTTCGTTCCATTGAACGTTGTGCGACCTGCAGTTTTCTTATGATCTTCGTTTTAAGCGTCCAGGTTTGGCACACATAGGTCATGACTGGATGACTGGGAGCACACATTGGTCGATTTTTTTCTTCTTTATATAAAGAAGATATAAAGAAGAAAAACTCTGTATAGAGTGGCATTCTAGGTTTGAATATGATTGAGTTTTTTTCCATAAGTATGATTGAATATGATTGAGTTTCTTCCACTAGTTATATAGATGTAATAATTAAATGCGTGCCCATATAACTACGTCTTATCACCTTAACACTATTTTAAATTTATGTCTTGCTTAGTTACCACTCGCTATTTGATTCTGACAACACTTACTCTGACCAGCAGACAAATAGCGATCTATCAATGTCTCTTAAACTTTGCCTTAACGCTTTGATTTCCTAACCTTTCTTAATTTTATAATTAGCATTAATAATTGAGGTAATTTCTGGAGATGCACCTTATTATCAGTCATTAGCGTAACTAACAATTTACCCTGGGGTGGGCCTGGAGGGGCCTGGGGTTGAGCCCAGGGGGGGGGCTAGGGCTTTTGAATTTTTAAAAATGAAAAATAATTTAAGAAAACACATTTTTTGAATAAAACGTTTACATGAATTTCTCTATAAATAAAATTCATAGACTTGGTTATCAAACCGTGTTTCCGTAGATTACTTAAATACCTACAGATTTTTAAAAAAATAAAAATTAACACATTTTTTGAACACAACAAAATAATATTAACTAAACAAAACTAAAAAACGTCATTTTTACTGCATCACAAGCAAATAAAAATTAATGCGTAGTCAAGAATCATAATTCAGGATTTCTCTGGGGGGTGCCCAGCAGTACCAGGGGGGTCCGGCACCCCCGGGCACCCCTGTAGTTACGCCAATGTTATCAGTTCAAAAAAATTACTATGCTTGAGGTGGGATTTTTTGTCTATTTACTATTTATCTTCATAAAATCTATATAAATTAAAATGATATTTATGCTTTATAGTAACTGTAATCAATTTCAAATCAGTATACAGGGTGGTGACAATTTCGATGCTCAACATTGGCATCTCAGAAACTATAAGAGAGATACAAATTCGGTTAAATGGGACAAAAGTTGCGTAATTAGAAGTTTGACAAACACCTATGAAGAAAACCCCGGCATCTTGATAGTTTCGAATTTATGTCAAAAAAAACTATTTTATTTTTTTTTTGTTGTGCGAAATCTAGAAGGCTTAGAAATTTTCCGAAAACGGCATTTAATTGGCCGAGATCAAAAATATAAAACTAACAACGTACGTTGCAATAGATACAACAGTTCTGATGATATTGTCATTTAAAATAAACGTATTATTTTCAATTTTACATAAATCCGACAGTAATCAAGATCAGAAAACACCGGTTTTCTTCATAGGTGTTTGTCAAACTTCTAATTACGCATCTTTTGTCCCATTAAACCGAATTCGTATCTCTCGTAGTTTCTGAGATGCCAATGTTTAGCATCGAAATTGTCACCACCCAATATACTTATATATGCTATATACTCTTATCTACTAGCTATCTAGGTGTAATAAGTAAACTCGTGCTCATTTAACTAAGTCTTATCACCGTAACATTATTTTAAGTATATGACTTGCTTAGTTACCAATCCCTATTCGATTCTGACAACACTTACTCTGAGCTGTAGACAAATAGTGATCTACCAATGTCCCAACTGCGCCTTAACGCTTTGATCTCTCGAAACCTCTCTTAATTTTATAACTAGCATTAATAATTGATATATGTATTGTACTGATAATAATATCAGTACAACAAAATTAAAACTTTAAATAATTTTAATAAATTAAAATATATTAGTAAATTAAAACTTTAATGGGATTTTTTTTATGTCTATTTACTATTTACCTCTATAAAATCTATATAAATTAAAATAATACTATATACTCGTATACTCTTCAATGAACCTATTTTAAATATACTTTGCTTCAATAGCTAGCTTTATAGTAACTGTAATCAATTTCAAATCAGTATATACCAATGGTGAATTTTTGGAAATAAAGAAAACTTAAAATTTTAGAAAACCTCAATCATTCTAAGTCCAGTGATAATCATCATACCATGTCAAGTTTACCATCGATTACGCCATTCGTCAAAGATGCCATTTTACTACGAAAATTTCCCTTACTTCTCGTACAAGTTTGACTATGTCAAGAGAGTCTGAACATCATTATGTCAAGATTCTTCGAAGAAACGATCGAATACCCTCGAACACCTGAAGATCATTTAAGTCAAAATGTTAGATATCTTCAGAGGACTGAAATCGCTTTTGAAAGTCAGCCCCATCCACATCGATTCTCCAGTTTTTCGACTGCACTACTCCATCACGGTATCGGTACTGATCGCGTTCTCGCTAATTGTGACCACGCGCCAATACGTAGGTAACCCCATCGATTGTATCCATACGAAGGAGATTCCAGAGGATGTTTTTAACACGTTTTGCTGGATCCATTCTACGTTCACTGTGTCGACGAACAACCCGGAACCGTACGCGAGGATGTACCTGCCTGGAAGTCCTGGAATTAGAACGACCCACAATGATAAAGAGAAGAAGGTGTACAAGTACTACCAGTGGGTTAGTTTCTGTTTATTTTTTCAAGTGAGTACTTGTTATAGATTATAGGTTATTACTAAAAAAATACTTTTTTAAATTTTAAAATAGTCTGATATATTTAAGCGCTTTATGTTCATATACAGGGTTGTTCATCACATACGACACGGATTATTGTAGCTAAACGATGAGATTTTTACAAATTGTAAGTCCTGGGTTCGATGAAGGACTATTAGAGGTACAATTTAAAAATAATTTTACAAGATACAGAGTGTCCCAAATAAGTAAAAAATATCAAAGTTGTATTTTTTTAAATGGAACACCCTGTATATTATTGCATTTTTAGTTTCTACGATTAAAATAAAGGTAAATTTGATTAATATTTATTATACTTAAACCTTACCGTTTTTGAAATATCTTCAATTTTGTGAAATTGCAGTAAAAATTTTAAGGCTTCATTTCTCCAAGGGTACCAAAGTTTTTAATACTAAATATTTACTGAAGTTTATTTATTGATCAGTTATTGTGTTACAATAATAAAAATAATACTACCTTATACAGAGTGTCTAAAAATTTATTTTAAATAATTATTAGCTTCAAACGGCAATAACTTGTTTAATTTAAATGGTCTAATTTAATCTAAATGGGTAATGTCTATCAAATTATATTATTCCATTTTTTACCTATCTCTTTAAGTTTCCGTAGAAAATGCATTTTCTTGTAATTTAGAACTTATTTATCAATATACCCATGGAATATTGATATTTTAGATTATTTTTAAAGATGTACCAAATTTTTAAAGAGTACAGATACTAATATTGTGGATATAATTCGTTTATTTACATTAAAAAATAAAAAAAACTGTTTAAATATTTGTTAAAGAGGACCAATTAATATGATTTCAATATTTAAACTACATTAACTGTCTGCGTTGATTAATAATAATTACTCCAAATACTAAAAAAATGAATTTTGTATGGGTATTAGACAGTGTGATAAAAAGTAACACCTTAAAAATGATATTTCATTTTTTAATAAATGCTTATTTATAACAATAGAGACTTTAATTTTGATAACTTATTATTATATTGATTTCTGACTCAAATCCACATTTATTTAGAATAATTTATTAACGAATACAATTAAGTATGTAATTAATTAGTATATGGGCGGAAATAATGGTGTTGTATTTAATTAATGGTATACTCTTTTATAAAGATTTAAATAGTTTTCTTTTTGCATACAACATTATCGTTTTTAGCAAAACGATAATATTACTAGAATGTCAATATATGATGTCAATATTCCATGGGTGTCAATATTCCATGGATATATTGATAAATGAGGTCTAAATTATAAGAAAATGCATTTTCTCGAAAACTTGAAGGGATAGATAAAAAAATGGTTTAATACAATTTGATAGACAATTAAATTGTGCATCTGATTCTTCTAAAATATACAGGGCGTTCCATTTAAATTAAAGAAGTTATTGGCGTTTAAAGCTAGAAATTATTTAAAATAAATTTTTAGACACTCTGTATAAGGTAGTATTATTTTTATTATTGCAACACAATAACTGATCAATAAATAAACTTTAGTAAATACTTAGTATTAAAAACTTTGATACCCTTGGAGAAATGAAGCCTTAAAATTTTTACTGCAATTTCACAAAATTGAAAATATTTCAAAAACGGTAAGGTTGTATAATAAACCTTAATCAAATTTACCTTTATTTTAATCGTAGAAACTAAAAATGTAATAATATACAGGGTGTTCCATTTAAAAAAAATACAACTTTGATATTTTTTACTTATTTGGGAAACTCTATATCTTGTAAAATTATTTTTAAATTGTACCTCTAATAGTCCTTCATCGAACCCAAAACTTGAAATTTGTAAAAATATTATCGTTTAGCTACAATACTCCGTGTCGTATGTGGTGAACAACCCTGTAAAGGTAACAATATTCTCTTGAATGAAAAATATATTCTTGTCCTATGCCAGACCATACGACTTTCATACATTTCTTATAAGTATGTAATTAACTTACAACAGGTATTGATTTGCTAGGGTGAATGGTTCTTAAAACTATATCTAATTATAATTAAAAATAATATCTATTATGTTCTATAGCCATATTATGAACAAAGATAAATATTTTGAAAGAAGAATGGTTGTGAACAAATTCAGCAAAAGGCCTCCTTTTGATTTAAAGAAACCCCAAGAATCTCTAAACATCACCGAGAACATTAAAGAATATCCTGAAGAGAACTGTATTAACTGTTGCAAAAATCGTTGCACTAAACAGAAGTATAGAATCCATTGTCACGCGTTTTGGCCTTAGCTTGGCTCTTTTTAATTTAAAAAAAAATAGAAAAAAAATTGTGCAAAAAAAAATTAAAAAAATACGAAGAAAAAAAATTATTAAGTTATTGATTAAAAATAAATATTTGTGGAATTTGCAAGGGTCTAGTCGTGAACAAATGTATGCCCTAGCTCAGGAAACTCGGGGCGGGTTAACAGCGTCACTGACTTGGACGGAGAAAAGTCAGAAATCCCCCAAGATGTATTTAGTGCCTTGCAAGCTCCACAAATAGATAAATAAAAAAAAATAAATAATTAAACAAAAATAAATATTATTAGATTTCAGAGAATAAGGTTGACATAGGGCCACAGGTAATATATAAAAAAAATAAAAAGCAACTGATTAGTTTCAGTACCCGCTATTAAAATATAAAAAAGTAGGAAACAGTAAATAGAAAATATCAAATAGAAAATAATAAATTAAATAAATCAATAAAAAAAATTGTGCATCAAGAAAAATACATATCACAATACGCATATAGTAAAATTACGTAAATAAATAGGTACCTTCCGTGATCACGTAAGATTTACAAAAAAAAATATATAAGCACAATTAAATTCAAATAATCAAATTAACTAACGAATCAATTCAAATAAATAATAATAAATTAAATCACTAATAATAATAATTAATTATATAATTATTAAATAAATAAAATAATCAACTAATAATTACGAATTCATCAATTTAAGAAATTCAGATATCGATTAAAAAAAATGAATAGATTTAAATAGAGGCAAAAGTAACTATACCAGCAGTATTAAATTTCCAAAAAAAATTAAAGAGAAAAAAAAATGAAATATTGTTTGATTAACAGATTTAAACGTGTGAAAATTTATTCTAATTATAACGTAATGTTAAAAAAAATATATCTACGGTCAGTATTAAATTTATTAATTAAAAAAAAAATTGAATTGTACGATACTAACTAGTTGAAAATCTTCTAAATTAACATCTGACTTGGGCAGACACCGTCGGCTGTCAACTGTCAACCGTCGACTGTCAACTCTTCCAGAAAAGTAAAATGGATACCAGCAAAAAAAACTGCTCCAACAAAAAAACTGGTTCAGAGTAAAGTTCTTCAACACGGAAGAAAAACTCCTTCGGCCCAGATGAAAAAACTTCTTCGGGCCAGAGGAAAAATCGGCCCAGAGAACCAAACCAAACCCTACGGAGAAATAATATTATAGTTTCTCCATAGTAAGAGATACCATAAAAGAGATAGTTTTTAGGAAGAAAAAAGTGGAAAGAAATGTATTAATTAAAAAAAAATAGGCTTTACCTGCTAACTCAGCGTTTTCTACGAATCCTCAGGTGATTAATATTAGTTCTTCCCCTCGATGGAATGGGGTGCTCAATAAAAAAAAGGCGGGCTGCTTGGTTGACCCACGTCAGCTTTTTGAGGTGAAAATCCCGTCACCGGTAAACTGTAGCACCGTCCAAAAAAAAACAAAAGGTAAGATAGTGTGCTGCAGTAATTTTTGAGGCATACTCGAAAATCCTCAAAAGGGTAAAAATCAAAAACTTGACAAAAATATATAGTATGGATCTTAGTTCTGAAACACCCTGTACATTTCAAAATAATTTTAAATTGTGCACATTGCCTCCCCCCACATATACCCATAAAACATTTTGTTTCTACATCTTTCCGTTTTCGTATAATCAACCGAGGTGAATGAGGTGCGCCACCCTGTATATGTCTCTTAAACAGGGTGAGTCTTCTTCGATGTTCTCTATTGGTATCTCGGAAACTACTAGAGCTAGAGAGTCGGTCAAATGAAAATTAGTAGCCAATTTGTAAATATGAATTTTTCAAATGAAGAAAAGCGTGGGGGATTGTTGGTTCAACTCTTCTTGGACCATACATTTTCGAGGATATGTTGACCGGTAAACGTTACTTATACTTTTTAGTTAAACTTAAAGACTTGCGCATCAATAGAGTGGTTCTAACATCACTTTCATTATGAAGCTCCCCTTCATAATGAAAGAAATGTTAAAATTTATTTATACCATAATTATGCAAACTCAGGGATAGGAAGAGGTAGACCAATTGGCCTCCTCGGTAACCTGACCTATCCGTTTTAAAATTTATGGGATATGGTTAAAAAAACAGCAAGGTTTACAGGAGAACTTATGAATCAAGAGAGACAAAAGAAGAGGAGGTACGGGAGAATTAAATTTAATAATAATGGCCGCCGCGCTGTGGAAAAAGCTTGCAATTTAGTTCTAAAAAGATGCATTTTATGTACTCAAAATATTTGCTAAAATAACTTAAAGTGTGTGTAGTATTATTGGTGTTTTAAGTTGTATTTTCTTTAATGTAAATTTTAAAGAAACGTTTAGAAATATATTCTGTCTTTTTATAAGTTATAAATCATAATAAAATAAGAATACCATGCCAACTAAGTGAAACTGGTCAAAAAGGATAAGAATATAATATATAACTCAGTATTTTTTCGGAAAAAAAAAACATATTATAGTTTATACCACTGGAAAGCTTTAAAAATGGCGATTTTTATGAAGTCATTGTAACGTGCCAAAATTTTACTAAACTAACCAAACCAAACCAAACTATTTTATTTCTTTTCTTTAATAATTTAACGCTAATTGATATTATTATTAGTCTGAAATATCGATCAGTTCAATTCAGTAAACCAAGAATAAATAAATCGTACTTACATGTT